AAGGTACCGTCACTGGCCCTGGAAAGCGTAAGGTAAAGATAAAAGAATTAAGGAAGATTCCAAGTAGTCTCCAAGATGAATTGTGTCTGGAGTTGAAGAGTTTACACTGTGGAACTCCCTGGAGCCTAAGAGGACAGCAGCCTCAGCAATCACACCCAAGGTAGGGCCAGGGTGGAGAATGGAGAGGGTGGAGCTGAGTGTCTCAGGACACCCAAAGGCTTCAGGGGCAGCAGGCAAGGCCTCAGTTTGCTCTTTTTTCTTATTGCAGCAAACCATGGAATCCTGGCAGCGTAGGTTTCTGCCTATCTTTATATTCTCAAACATTATCTTTAATCATGCTTTATTATTCATAGGACACCTCTTTGGCAATAATAACTATTGGGAACTCAGCCAAAGAAGTAGGAAGTTAAAAAAAGAAAAAGCCTCTGAATATCCAAGATAGAATGGCTTGGGGTTTCCTTAAAATGGAAGAACTTCATTTCTTCAAGAATTCCTTGGGCACTCTGCCACAGCCTAATGACTCTGTGGCAAGCTGTAGAGTTCCCCAGATCATAGGAGAACCAAAGTAGCAGGCGAGGCAGTGACAACTGAGATATGAGTTGAAGAGGAGATGGAAAAACTGGAAAGTAGACACGGGTAATTGAGAGAGAGTTCCTCACTGGGCATAGTTTGGTGCAAGAATAAACTCTTGATGCATCAGTGGACTCCAAGACATTACTTTATTGCAGGATGGGTTCTTGTTCATAATAATGCCTGATTCATCAATAACAATTCAGCTAAGATCACTAACTCCATTTAAGTAGATAGGGACATATATGTGCAGTGTATTTTAGAAAGATCTCCTTTCCAGAAGACTAAAGGTAAAAATAGAATGTTAGCTTATAAAGGGTAAGGACAAAATCTTTCCTTCAGTTCTTACACCAGATCGCTATTCTTTTTTTTTTTTTTTTTTTTTTTTGAGTCAGGGTCTCACTCTGTCACCCAGGCTGGTGTGCAGTGGCACAATCATGGCTCACTGCAGCCTCGACTTCTTGGGCTCAGGTGATCCTTCCCTTCCCAGCCTTCTGAGTAGCTGGAACAAAAAGCACACACCACAACACCTGACTAATTTTTAATTTTTTTTTTTTTGTATAGAGACGAGGTCTCGGTATGTTGCCCAGGCTGGTCATGAACTCTTGGACTCAAGCAATCCTCTTGTCTTGACCTCCCAAAGTGTCAGGATTACAAGCATGAGCCACCACACCCAGTCACTATTCTTATTTCCACTATATAGAAAAGGAAGCTGAGGCTTGGTGAAGTTCATTGACTTACTCCAAGTCCCCAAACCAGTAAAAGGCAGTCCTGGTTTTCCGACCCAGTTTTGTTTTACTGTAAAGGCTAGGTTCTTTAGCATTTTATTACTAGCCCCTCTTCTATGTTTCTGAGTGATGACTACTCATGACAAAAATCATACTTATAAATATTTTTCTGAATATTTTTAATGGAGTTTGTTTGTTTCATACAGGATTTTCTCTGTCACCCCTGCTGGAGTGCAGTCGTATGATCATGGCTCACTGCAGTCTTGAACTCCTGGGCTCATGACTAAATGATCCAGTATTCTTAAGAAAAAAATGCAGTAAGTAAGCAGTCAGTCATAGCTAAGTTTGGTAGATGTTCAGTTATATTAGTTTCTTCATTTTATGAACATGTACAAGTATAAAAAATAATGTTTAACTGTGATTCCAAGCTTGGAAAATATGTTAGGTAAGCAAACAGTAATATATGTTCCAAGCAAATAAAATCAGTTGAGCTAAAACATGAAGAAATGAAACACTGATTGCAAAATTCCTTAAAGTTTTGTGGACTGTGCTTTGAAAAACTGCTCAAAAAACAAGGGTGTTACCTGTGATGGGCCATTTTTGACCATTCTCCAGATCAGCTCTCAAATGTTAAGCTGGAGTTTAATGTCCTATACAGGCAACAATTTCTGCTATTTTCCTGAAGGTGGACTCCTAGCATAATGAAAAGATTTCTGTGTAATTGAAAAAAGACCAGTGGAATACTCATGTCTGAATCCTACATTTGCTGTTTACTAGTTAAATAAGGTAGCTGCATGTTGCTAGAAACCTAATATTCTTATGAATAAAAATGGAGGTGACATAATAACACAAACGATGATAACATCTGCCTTTCCAATCTCATAGACTTGTTGGGAGGATCAAAAAGGATGCTCTGTGAATACATAGTATCATTACATAGATGTGTAGTATTATTAAAATGATAATTCTGTTTCTTACATGGGTTATATTATGGCAGATGGTTTTAACTCAGTTTTGTTGTTGATTATCTTTGATTGCATCTAGACTGAATGTGTCAGTAGAATTTTATTTTCTTGAAGGGTTCTACCTTTGTAAACTTTGAGGATGGTTTTAATTCAGTTTTGTTGTTTGATTATCTCAGGCTGGCCCTGGATTGGCCCGTGACCGGTATGAGTTTTTGTCAGTCCATGGTAACATGCAGGTTTCTGAACATGCTGGAATCTTTTTCAGGTTTTTTTGTGTGTGTGCCTGGTCTTTAATTTTAGACCAGTCCTCAGGATGTGCGTGGATCTCTTGGATGATGTTACATTATGATCAAGGAGCTTAAAAGAACTGACCTTGATATCAAGCCTTGTTCTACCAAAGGTAGAAAACAGGTGAGACAGCATGCCTGTGGCATCACCCCTACCATCTCATTTTTGAACAGTAAATGCCTCACCCACAAAAATGACAAGCCTGTATCAGGTGTGTAGGCAAGTGCCCTTGATAAATACTTTGTTTTAGAGGAGGCAATGCATAATGACTAAGAGCCCAGGCTCTGGAGTCAGACAGACATGTTTTACTTAATCTCACTCCGTAAAAAAAACCAAGTTACTTAAGCTCTCTTAACCTGTTTTCTCCTCTGTAAAATAGGATTATTATAATAACCCACATGAGTTACTGTGGTAAATGAAACAACTTTTGTAAAGCTTTATCTAACATATGATAATTATTCTTAGGAACCTACAATTGACAGAGGATGGAAATAGACATGAATGATGGAAAAGAGAACAAAGTGTCCCTGGTGCAGCTCTTACACATGTTGGAGTCATATCCAGTTCTCTAAATTTATTTAATTCTTCTGTAGTGTAACTGATCCACTCTTGGCATTGCACCATCTAATAATAGTTCTTTTAGTATTGGTTGTACTACATTATCAATAGACCAGTATTAACTTTTAAGTTAATGAATCGGTGACATTTTGTTTATAAGATCTGAGCATAGCAACTGCATTAAAATAATTTTAGACTAAATTAAAATCTTTTTTTGGAGGAGGAAAAAAAACACCTTTTTAGGGCTAATATTCTCCCCCACCCCTTGTGAAGACTATTCTTTGAATTCTGAAGAGCATAGCTTTGTTTGTGGAAAATTATGAATGGTTTGAGACATTTGTTTCAGAAATACTACCCACACTGGCCTACTTCTGTTTTCTGGCAAATCACACCTTTTTCCTCTGTTTCCTATGGTGTTGAGCAATTCACTTGTAAATGTTGATTTTTTTTTTTTTTTAAAGCAATGCTCTCAAGCCCTTTTTGCTCTTAAATATCTCACTTAAGCTGTCATCTTGCTCAGAATAAGATGAACCTTGCTATAGCTCTGGTCATTTTCCAGGATTGTATGAGATTTAATGAACCTGCCTAGCCTAGTAATCCTCAAGTACTTGCCTGTGTGTGTGTGTGTGTGTGTGTGTGTGTGTGTGTGTGTGCATGTGTGTGTGTATGTGTGTTGCGAGTTTGCTTGACAGTAGTAGTGATTGTCACCTGATGGTGGCCTCCTATAGCATATTCCACCAGGGTTTGGGAGTGGTGGTAGGGATTTTTTAATGTTCAGTGTAGCTTGATGGTGATAAAACTCCAGAAAGAAGGCAAGAGTGAGGCCTGAGCCTTGGAGGGGAAGTTGTTGCCAGTCCTTCAGCGTGATGTGAGACTGGAGACACAGTCATAAACCTGCCTTAAAAGTCACTGCCTGCCTATTGGACTAGATGCTCCATTCGCTAATCTTTGATTAAGCAACAGCTCCTGGGTGTTTCCTAGTGAAGCCTGGAGGCCACATGAACCCGCTTAGTTTTCTACCCATCAGCCCATTGTATACTCTTTTCCTGAAAGCCTTTTTCATCAGCTAGAGTACAGCAATTCCTGGAAAAGATCGCCAAGATTTTTTTTTTTAAGTTTCTCAAAATCTATCAAGATATTGAAAAAGTCTTCCAAGTAACAGCCACACACGTGGGTCTGTAGGTTGAGAACTGAAGAGATTAGGCACCCCTTTTCAAGGGTCCGTGGCATACAAATACAGAATGCATATAACAGTAAACACTGTTTTTTTACAGGGGTACAACCATTCTCAGTCTAAAGAGACAGAAGTGACCCGAAGCTAACAGTCCCCTCTTGCGCTTGTGTGACACAGCGTGTCAGACCAGGGTGTGGGGAACTACCTGTGCCTTGACCAGTGGAAGGTAAAGAAAGGGAGTCGGACGCAGCCTCGGCGGCCAGAAGGAAAGCGCAGGAACTCTTAG